CTGCCTCCCAGGATCTGCATTAGCATGAACCTGGAGTCAGGAGCCCAAGCGAGCTGGTAAACCCTGTGACTCCAGTGCGGATCATGGCATCCAGCTGCTGTGCCACACACTCACTCTCATGCACCACAAGGCTCTGCTGCCTGTGGCCTGGGAAAGCAGTAGAGGACAGCCCAAAGCCTTGGGTTGCTATACCCACATGGGAGACCCAGAAGAAGCTCCTGGCTCCTAGCTTCAGACTGGCTCAGCCCCAGACGTAGCAGCCATTTGGGAAGTGAACCAGCAGATTGAGAAGATCTTTCTATATTTACAAATGAAAGAGGAAGAGAAAAAGCGTGGAAGAGAAAGAGTGTAAGCTCCTACTGGCCAGGCCAAAGCTGGAACTCCATCCTTGTCTTTCGTGCAGGTGGCAGGAACTCGGGTAGCTGAGCTGTCACCGGCTGCCTCCCAGGGTATGCTTTAGAAGGAAGCTGGGTTGGAAGCGGAGTAACTAGGTTTCAGAGGCTGTACCCTTTCCTTAGTTTTTAATGGAACCTAGATTTGATTAGTCTTGTCTCATTACCCAATTTTATTAAATTATACATATTAATCATGTTATGAAACATCTGTGTGATTAAAAAAAAAAACATTCCATTATTGGGGCTGGTTCTGTGGTGTATCAGGTTAAGTTGTCTCCTGCAGCACTGAGATTCCATACAAGAACCCTTTCAAGTTCGCCCTCTTCTGCTCCCAGTCCAGCTCCCTGCTGATGTGCCTGGGAAAGAAGCAGAACACGGCCCAAGTGCTTGGACCCCTGCACCCGTGTGGGAGACCCAGATGGAGCTCCAGGTCTCCACCTCAGCCATGGTGGCTTTTGGGGGAGTAAACCAGTGGATAGAAGACCTTTTTCTGTAACTCTGCCTTTCAAAAAAACAAACAGAAATCTTTCTTTTTTTAAAATTTTTATTTTTGATGATTTTTTCATAGTTGATTATGGTGCGAAGGCTCAAAGGCTACAGAAAAGTTAGTGACACCACCATTTCCACTTTCTCTCCTTTCTTTTTTTTCCTTCCTTTATCTGGGGGGTTGGGGGACAAGAGGAGAAGCCACATCCAGCCTCCCAATCGCCTCCATATCCTGGGATGGAGGACAGTTACCCGATACCATCCCAGGGTTCCGATGTGGAGCGAACTCCAAGGGTCCTGCTCAAGAGATTTTGATAGTTCAACAGTTCTGAATTACTGCTGATCTCACCACTCTAAATATGATAAAATATTTCCAGAATCCATTAGTTGACATAGTTCATCTTAGAGTCTCTGTTTGCCCAGGATTCACGGCCAACGCTTGGCTGGGGTAGTTGACCAATTTGTTCCGTCCTCCATCCTCTGTTGTGGTACCAGGTGTCCTCTGCAGACTCCAGTGTACTGCCATATCCTCCATGTGTGCCTGGATATGCTGCCCACTGTTCCATCCAAATCACTGAGGAGGCCTGGCTCTGACATCTGCGCTCTACAGTCAGACTATGGAACCTGCAATTCTTTCCATGGTTGGGGTTCTGAGTGCAGTGATTCAGTTGGGGTGGTCCCAACAAAAACTTAATCCGAGGTGTTCCCAGACCTGATTCTTGTGTATACTTGACAATACTGGTTCTGGCACAGTCTCACACACACTGGTAGCTGCAGTTGCTGGGTCAGTTCTGTCTTTAGCCCTGTCTTCTATGCAAACCAATGAATGCTGGAGCCCAACCCTATCCTGCACACCACACACTCGACCCTCACACAAACCAGTGGGAGCTGCAGCCTAGTCGGAGGAGCGACCCACAATAACCCCGACCAGGCCCGCCCCCTGCTCTGGCTCCCTTGCTTGCAAGTATGTACAGCAGACTGTTCCAGTCTGTCCCACATCCTGTTCGGCTCTCAAAAATGTCAATAGGCACTGAAGCCCAGTTCAACCCAACCAGCCCCACTATCCAGCCCACACACCTGCTGGCGGGTATCACTCTCTGTCTATCCTTGCCTGCCCCAGTCCTGGTTCTCATGCTCACCAATCAGAGTGGCAACCGAAGAGAGAGGTGCCCACTGTTTCCCTAATGGGCCCACTCCCACTCCTAGACCTTGCACTCTCCAGGTAGTTTTGCAGTTTAACTTGACAAAATTTGCCCCCCGTGCCAGCCTCTGCCAGCTGATATTGCGGCAAAACCCAACCAACCCACACCCAGTCTGTCTTGTGTATGCACCAATAGGAACAGTCAACCCAACCTGACTTTCCCTTGATCCAGCTCACATGTAGACCACCAGATGTTGTAGCCCTGACTGGCCTGGTCTGCTCCCATCCCAGCTCTCACAATCTCCAGTGGGAATAGTGGTCCAGTAGGGAAGACCCACACAGCCTCCCTGACAGGTTCACCCTTTCACACCCCCCCAACCCCACCCAGGGTTTCATGTGCACTGGTTAGGCACTGTGGCCCAGTCTAGCATGGCTCGTCTCACTTTGGCATTTGCCAGTGAGTGGTGTAGCCTGGCTGGGTCCAGCCCACCCCCAATTCCAGTTCATACTGGTGGGGGGTACAGCCTAGCCCAACCCAGCCAGCCCCCAGTCCTGGCCCTTATGTGAACTGGCTTGTGTTGTGGCTCTACCCAGCCCAACCCACACTTGATTCTGGTGCTCAGGTACACCAGCAGGTGGTATGAACAGGCCCCAGACTGAGCCAAATGTATGCTGAGGGTGGGTACCATTGCCTGGCCTAGTCTGGGCTACCACCTATCATGGTTCTTGAGCTCACCTGGAGGGACTGTGTCCCAACAGAGGAGTTCCCCAGGCTCCTCCATCAGAAGCTCTCCAAATGTCAGATCTTATGCCCACTGGAGGGAGCACAGGCCAGCTCTACTCAGTCCACCTCCTTTCCCACAGTGGCCTTTCCTGACTGGTCCTCACCCATTCTGGTTCTTACTGTTAGGTGTTATAGTCCAGCCAAACCTGATCCACACCCAGGCACATCTTACGCATGGCTCAGCAGGGGCAGAGACCTAGCTCAGCCCATCCTATACCCACCTTGGTTCTCATGAGCACCAGTGAGTGCTGTAGTCAGGCCCAGTCTGATGCACTTCAGACCCAGTCCATACTTGTGCTTGAAAGTCACTATGGCCATGTCCAGATCCAATGGCAGCCCCCACTCAAGCCATCGCACTCACCCAGTGGAAACTCCAACCCAGCCAGGGTGTCCCCTTAGCTCCCCAGCCACGTCTGTTCCCAGTCACAGATCATGCACAGGGTCATTGGTTGCTCTGACCCAGCTTGGCATAGTCCCTCACCTGTCTTGGCCTTAGCCTTTGGATGCTGTACCTAGCCTGACCTAGCCTGCCTCCAGTCTCAACTCTCACTGGCAAATGCTGGCACCTGGCTCTACCCAGTCTGCTCCCATCCCTGGCTCATGCAAACTGGCAGGTGTGACAGTCTAGCCTAGCCCAGCATGACATGCGTTCCAGCCTGGTTTCTGCACTTGCCAGTCATCTAAGGTTTGCTCAACTCTGCCTGATTTGTTCCCTTCCAGAACCAACCCACACACTTGCCAACTGATGGGCCTACCTCGCCCAGCTTGCCCAATGCCCAGGTCTGGATCATGTGCTCATCAATGGGAGCTATGACCCCGTAGTGGGGTTTCCCAAGTTCCCCACTCAGCCCACTCCCAGACCCAGCACATGTACCAGCAGGTGCTAGGCTCTTGCCCAGCATAGCCTGCCCTTCCATCTTGGCCTTTGTATGGGCTGGTGAATGTTGTAGCTTGGCCCATCCTACACCCTGTTTTAGGATGCTCATGCAGGTGCTGTAGCCTAAACCTCCCCAACCTGTTCTTGGCCCCAGTACCCATGAGTGTTGGTGGGTTCCATGATCATACCTAGTTCAGCCAATCATCACTTCAGCTTTTTTTAAAGATTTATTTATTTTTATTGCAAAGTGAGATATATAGGAAGTGGAGGAGAGACAGAGAGGAAGATCTTCTGTCCAGTGATTCACTCCCCAAGTGAGCGCACTGACTAGTGCTGAACCAATCTGAAGCCAGGAGCCAGGAGCTCTTCTGGGTCTCCCATGTGGTTGCAGGGTCCCAAGGCTTTGGGGTGTCCTTGACTGCTTTCTCAGGCCACAAGCAGGGAGCTGGGTGATATTAGAACCAGCGCCCATATTGGATCCCAGAGCTTTCAAGGCAAGTACTTTAGCTGCTAGTCCATGGTACTGGGCCCACCACTTCAACTCTTAAACTAACCAGCGGGACTTGTATTTCCACAGGGATGGGCCCACATATCCCCTGCAGAATCTACCCCTGGACCTGATTCTTTTGCGTACTGGTTAGTGTTATGGTCCTGCCTAATGTGACCTGTCCTCTGTTCTGATACTCGGTCAGGTGCTGGGATCTAGCTCTGCTAGATAGTCCCCCCAGCCCTAACTTTCATGTAGACTGGCATGTGGCAGTCAGCGATGTGCTGCACTCACAAACCCAGCTTAGGACTCCCATGTGGGTTGGTGAGTCTGTCTGACCCATACAGATCTTCTAATCTCTCCCCTCCAAACCACCAGGTCTCAATCCCTTCACTTGCCTACATGTACAGTAACCCTCTCATTGTGAGTCCTCAGGATTCATTCCTCACCCTCAAGTCCAGTGCTGATAGGCACTCTGGCCACCCAAGCCAAGGTAGCACCAGCTGCTTTGTGCCTAGCCCAAGCAAGATGGCGCCAGCTCCAAAAGTCTTTTTCAAAAAGTATATTTTGTGAGAAAGTACCTTTCTTCAGAACCTGGAAGTCTTATTTTAACTTCCCATTCCTGAAAGATAAGAACAATTGAATATTATTCTGTGCCAGAGGAATTCCTTTATTTCTTCTTTCACTCATTCTCCTGTTGAGTTAATTGCCAAACAATTAATTGGGTTAATATTTGGAGTCCTTTTTCCCCAGCAGCCATGACCTTCCTGTCTCCCAACATCTAACTGTGTATAATCCTCTAACCCACTGCCCCCTGTATCTCTTTGCAGCCATATGTGTCATTGGCTCAGCAGATGGCACCACCTAGTCCAAGCAACAGCACCCCTAACAGCAGCAGCGGCGGGAGTAATGGCAATGACCAGCTGAGCAAAACCAACCTCTACATCCGAGGGTTGCAGCCAGGCACGACTGACCAGGACCTTGTCAAGCTGTGTCAGCCGTGAGTGGTGGTACACCTGGGTGGGCTTCCAGGGACAGTGCTGAGCTGGTGAAGCTGACTGCTTGCCAACTACTATCAATGCAATGCTATTTTGCTTCTACTCATAGTCACAAGGTTTCTTGGCACCTCTCTTTAAAAAAAAAAAAAAATCACCTGCTGCTGATAAATGAAACCTTTTTGTATTTTTTAAAGTAAGCCAGGGCAGGGCTCACCTCTGAAGCCCACTATACAACTTTGTCTACAGCATCTCCACTCATCTGTTAGTTTTACTGCAATGACTGCTGACCTTGTACCTTGAATGGGAATGTTCAGCATCTCTATAGATGATGCTTAACAGGCAGTGAGAACTGGCAGTGGGCAGAACAAAATGGGGCTGGCCTATTATACACATGGAAGGGTTTCTGCTGCCAGAGATATTCCCAGTGACTCAGGGGAGGAGACCTCAGATTAGTGGGTCAAGAAGATGGCCTCTGTTCACTGTCCAGCTACGATGGACTTGGTTTATGGAGCCGATGATAACACACATGGACTACCTTGATGGTCAATAGCCAAAGCTTATTAGTGGCATCAGGCTTTTATAGGCTGAGGGTTACACAGGATAAGGGAGGAAGCATTGAAGAGCTTGCATAGTTTCCATAAGACTATCTACAGAACCCATCAATTGTTTCCACACTCTTATCTGAAAAATCTTTTATATATTCAATCCATTATTCTCATTCAAATGAAATCCACTCAGTTGTTCTCATACAAATGATATCCTATCAGTTGTCCTACACCTCTCCCTGTGAAGTTCCCTCACCACAGAGCTGAACTAGAAGGTAACCTTAACTACCATGATGTTAGCCCAGTTAGGAGTCTGGAAAAATGGGCTGGAAGGCAGAGAGGCTCAGTTCAGTCTCACCTGGTGGGAAAGCATGTGTGTTACATCATATGTTAGCGGAAGAAGACTGGAAGTAAGGCAGAGTAATAGAACACATCACCACCACACAGAGCATCATCATTATTACTTTTCTTAAAAAAAAAGGTTTATTTATTTTTATCAGAAAGGCAGGTATAAAGAGAGGAGGAGAGACAGAGAGAAAGATCTTCCATACAATGATTCACTCCCCAAGCAGCTGCAATGGCCAGAGCTGAGCTGATCTGAAGCCAGGAGCCAGGAGCTTCCTCTGGGTCTCCCACACGGGTGCAGGGTCCCAAAGCTTTGGGCCATCTTCGACTGCTTTCCCAAGCCACAAGCAGGGAGCTGGATGGGAAGCGAAGCATCCAGGATTAGAACCGGTGCCCATATGGGATCCCAACGCGTTCAAGGCGAGGACTTTAACTGCTATGCTATTGTGCAGTTCCTCATTATTATTACTTTATACATTTCCATCATAACAATATACCAATATTCATTCTACTATTGGATATCTGGGTTGTTTCCAGATGTGACATGTGAATATAACAGGTGCTGCTGTGGACTTACCAGCATCTACTGGTAGTGTGTGTACACATTGGGCGTATACTCAGAAGTAAAATCCCTGAGACATCTGGGTATAAACCTGCTCAGCCTTTGCAGATGCTACTAAGTAATGTTCTGCAGGAGTCAAACCATTCCAAATTCCTGTGCCATAATGGGTAAATTCCAGCTGTTCTAGATCCCAGAGAGCCCTTTGCCCTAAAACGTGCAGTAGCAGAGGTCTGATAGAAATCTCTTACTTTGAGATGTTTTTTCAGGTACACGCAGAGCGTACATACATGCAGTTTTGTTAGCATCAGGTCACACCAATAAAACTGGCCCTTCCTCTCAGCGTGTCTTACTAGAAAGGTATTCAGGTGGAATAGCGGGGACTTGCTGTGGGGCCGCTCGTTCTCAGGGGTTGTGGGAACTGGCAGAAATGTTCGTTTGAGGCAGTGGAGTGTGCTATCAGTGTGATATGAGTCCAGTTTTTGTACCTGTTAGACCAAATAATACATGCTGCAGACATCTTCTGATACCCAGGAGAAAGAGGGAACTCGGCGTCACTATGCTTGCAGGCTTTTACTCTGCCCTACTGCTTTCTGTGTCTGAAGAGAGAATCGTTGTGATCTGCACCCTAGAGAGGAGAAGCCAGAGGGCGAGCGGAGAGCTTGGGGGAGGGTCCAGGCTGGAGGGAGCAGGTGGGTGGAGCCCCCAGGGCTACGGGAGTTTGTGAGCCTTTCCAGGAAGGGAGTTTCTCCCGGGCAGAAGGACTTCCTGCCTTTGTCCACGACGTGTCTTCCTGGGTTGCAGAAGAAGTGAAGGTTCCTGGGTCCTGAACTCCGGGGTGAGGGGAGGGGTCCGGAAGGAGAGGCTTGGAGCTCAAGACTGGAACTCCGGGTTCTCTCAGAGGGGTTCCTTTTTCCAAAGAGGAAGCAGCAGTGACCCAGCTGTTGCCAGCTGCAGTGGAAACTTTGAGCTCAGAGTCTCAGGCTGCTAGACCACAGCCAGCTCCACCCTGGGGCCTTGACGGGGGAGAGCGAGCAGCGTGTGTGTCCTCCAGCCCACAGGCAGGCTCCTCCCAGGCCCGCCCCCTTCCCAAAATTTGGGAAAAATCCAAGTATGCAGCCCAGAAGGGCTTAGATTGACACATCATTCTCCCACCCCCCTCCCACTTAGAATGTGCTCTTTGCCCAGCCTCCAGGGCATTGTTTGGCTTATTCTGTCTAATCCTTTGGGTCACAGAAGTTTCACTAAAAAAGTCAGTGAGAGGCCACCAAGCAGTGAAAACAAGTAATTCAGTCATTGCCTGTTCTTCAGGGATGAGAGGAGAGATGGAAAACAAAAGCTTGTTTTGGGGGTATTGGTCTCAAGTTCAGTCCCCACCAGCTGTTTTCAGATAGCTCTGTGCTGCTCACTTTGTTAGTGATTTTTTTTTCCTGTCTCTAATGTTTTCATCGTCCTAGAATGGAGTATGTGAGGTTTTTTTGTTTGTTTGTTTGTTTTGTTTTTTTGTTTTTTGTAGAAACACCTTCAGTATAATTATGGATCTGTGATACTCCACTTTGTCAAGTTTTGGGGAGCCCCACATGACAGCTGCCAATGCAGAGTATTAAAAAAAAAGCATGAGTGTTAACTGGATGTAGACTGAGCACGTATCAGGGATTTCTTTAGCTCAAGGAGGGAGGGAATCTGTAGGATGGCAAAATGTGTTCAGAAGGCATTGGGAAGCTTGGGTTTTACAGATGCTGAAGAATTTGGACTAAGACTGTGAAGTTAGTAGTTTGTGTCTTGTAGGATAATAAATCCGGAAACTTCTGGGTTTTATTGTCTGTGCTGGAAAAACCCAATTTATATTGTTTTGTTTATTTATTTGAAAATAGGAATTAAAGAGGGAAAGACCTTCCATCCTCCAGCTCACTCCCCAAATGGCAGCTGGGCTGGGCCAAAGCCAGGAGCTTCTTCTGGGTCACCCACATAGGTGCAGGGGCCCAAAGACCTGAGCCATCCTCTGCTGTTTTCCCAGGCACATTAGCAGCGAGGTGGATTAGAAGTGGAGCAACTGGAGCTCTAACTGGTGCTGAGACAGGATGCTGTGACCACAGCTGGCTGCTTTACGCTCTGAGCCACAGCACTGGCCCCTTCATTTGCATTTGCGTTGTAGACAGAAACCTACAATTTCACATGTATTATCACAAATCTGGCTCTAATCAGTAAAGAGTGGTCCAACAAAGCAACATAATGAGATACTTCTTAAATGGGCCTGTTAGAAAATGTTCGAGTGAGATTTTGAAAAGATGTGCAATTTTCCTACCTTTTGCTTTATCATCAAGTTTTTATATGATTTTCTTTTTCTTTTTCTCTTTCTCTTGAGAAGCAGAGAAAAAGCAAGACAGGCTCTCTCCACACCAGTATGCTGGTTCATTCCCCAAACGCCTGCAACATTCAAGGGCCGTGACTGAGCTGGGTTTGGGAGTGAGGAATGCAGTCCGGGTCTCCTAGTTATTTGAGCCACTACCCTTGCCTCCCAGAGTGTGCACCAGCAGGAAGCTGGAGTCAGGAGCCAAAACTGGCACAGAACCTGGACCTTCTGAACTATGACACACACATTTTAACTGGTGTCTTAACTGCTAAGCCAGACAACCACCCAAAGATGTCTTTTTTAAAGATTTCTTTATTTTTAGGCCTGGCGCAATGGCGCCATGGTTAAGGTCCTCACCTTGCACGCCCGGGATCCCATATGGGTGGTGGTTCTAATCCCGGCAGCCCTGCTTCCCATCCAGCTCCCTGCCTGTGGCCTGGGAAGGTAGTCAAGGACGGCCCAAAGCTTTGGGACCCTGTACCCGCGTGGGAGACCTGGAGGAGCTCCTGGCTTCAGATTGGCATAGCGTTGGCCGTTGCGGTCACTTGGGGAGTGAATCATCGGACGGAAGATCTTCCTCTCTGTCTCTCCTCTCTGTAATATCTGCGTTTCCAATAAAAATAAAATAAAAATAAATCTTTTAAAAAAAAGGATTTCTTTATTTTTATTAGAAAGGCATATTTACAGAGAGAGGGAGAGACAAACAGAAAGAGCTTCCATCTGCTGATTCACTTTTCAAGTAGTTACAACAACCAGAGCTGAGCTGTTCCAAAGCCAGGAGCTTCTTCTGGGTCTCCCATGTGAGCACAGAGTCGGAAGGCTTTGTGTGATCCTTGACTTTTTCCAGGGCATAGGCAGGGAGCTGGATGGGAAACAGAGCAGCCAAGACATGATCCAATATCCATAAGGAATCCCAGTGCTTGCAAGGCAAGGATTTAGCCACTGAGCCATAGCACCGGCCCCCAAGATGGTTTTCTTAATGCTTACCCCAGTCTTGTTTCCATTCCTCTCTCTAACACCCTCAATTCTTGACGTAAGAAACAGAAGTGTTAGAATAGGGCAGAAAGAGCCTGACATGGTAGCCTAATGGCTAGTCCTTGCCTTGTATGCGTTGGGATTCTATATGAGTGCCGATTTGTGTCCCAGCTGCCCCCACTTCTATCCAGCTCCCTGCTTGTAGCCTGGGAAAGCAGTCGAGGACAAATGGCTGGTCCCAAGGTCTTGGGACCCTGTACCCGCATGGAAGACCCAGAAGAAGCTCCTGATTCCTGGCTACGAATCAGCTCAGTTCCAGCCGTTGGCTACTTGGGGAGTGAATCGGTGGAGCTTCCTTAAAAAAAGAGAATAAGGCAGCAAAATAGAAGCTAGTTTTGCAATTAAGTTGAAGACTCTTAAATATAACAATAGTTAATAATTTATAAGTGCTTACCAAGTAGTATATATAATCCCAACGTCCTGTCTCCAGTTCTTTAATGACGAGGCTGTGACAGAAAGTTTAAACATCTCATTCAAGATCACACAAAGCTGGCTCCCTGTTCATGTGCCTGGGAAAGCCACGATGGTAGTCGCCCATGCTTGGAGCCCTGCTGTCTACCCGGGACACCAGATGGAGTTCTTGACCCAACCCTAGCTGTTGTGACCATTTGGGAAGATCTCAATCTCTCAAATATACATACTTGAAAAGAATAGTTACAGAAGGGAGATTTTAAATGTGTGTGTGTGTATATATATATATATGTTGTATCCATATATAATTATATGTATGTATTTATAAATATAACCATGTACACATATAATTACATAAATATACAAAATATAATTTATACATAAAAGTATATGATACATATATATAAAATATCTCCTTCTCTGTCACTATTCCTTTCAAATAAGTACCTACATCTTTATTTTTAAAATTTTAATTATTTTTAAGATTTATTTATTTTTTTTGGAAACCTAGATATACAGAGAGGAGGAGGAGAGACAGAGAGGAAGATCTTTCGCCCAATGGTTCACTCCCCAGGTGACCACAATGGCCAGTGCTGAGCTGATCCAAAGCCAGGAGCTAGGAGTCTCCTCCAGGTCTCCCACACTGGTGCAGAGTCCCAAGGCTTTGGGCCATCTTCGACTGCTTTCCCAGGCCACAAGCAGGGAGTTAGTTTGGAAGTAGAGCCTCAGGGATTAGAACCAGCGCCCATATGGGATCCCAGCACGTTCAAGGTGAGGACTTTTAGCTGCCAGGCCACAGCGCTGGGCCCCAGTAACCACATCTCTAAAAAAAATGTCATGGGGCTGACATCAATTGGCTAATCCTCTGTCTACAAGCACCAGCATTCCACGTGGGTGCTGGTTCCTGCTCCACTTCCCATCCAATCCCTGCTGTGGCCTAGGAAAGCACTGGAGTATGTCGCAGAGCCTTGAGACTCTGCACCTGTGTGGGAGACCCAGAGGGGTCTCCTGGATCCTGGCTTCTGATCAGCTCAGCTCCAGCTGTTGCAGCCATTTGGGAATGAAGCAGCAGGTGGAAGATCTCTATGTCTCTCCTTCTCTCTATCAATCTGCCTTCCCAATGAAAGTAAATAAATATGTGGTTTTTTTTTTTTAATCATACATAGTTAGAAATTTGCAGAACTGGATTTGAACTCAGGCAGTTGGGCTCAGGTTGACCTTCAGTCGGGACAGTAGGAGGATGGGAATGGGATGTCACAGGAGATAAACGTGTGTAGTTTCTCATGGAAGGAAAGGTATTTTTTTCAACGATTTTGTATTAATTTATTTTTTGTTATTTTTGTTGGAACGTCGGATTACAGAGAGGAGGAGAGACAGAGAGGAAAATCTTCTGTCCACTAATTCACTCCCTAAGCAGCCGCAATGGCCATAGCTGAGCCAATCCTAAACCAGGAACCAGGAGCTTCTTCTGGGTCTCCCACATGGAAGCAGGGTCCCACTGTTTTCCCAGGCCACAAGCAGGGAGCTGGATGGGAAGTGGGGCTGCCAGGATTAGAACCAGTGTGCGTATGGGATCCCAGTGTGTGCAAGGCAAGGACTTTAGGCACTAGGCTACTGTGCCAGGCCTGGAAAGGTATTTTCTTAAGATCAGTAGTATCTACAATTTCTTGTTGTTCGCAAGGAATTCCTGTCAGCACTGTCCCCTTCTGCCCTCTGCTGTGTGGGCATCGCCCAACTTCTTTCCCAAAATGACCCTCATCTCTTTCCAGCTGGAGTCCTGAATCTTAGGGAAGAAAGGAGAGAAATGTCACTGTTATAGGGGCCACAGTTACCTTATTTCTTATGACCCCTTGAAGAACGGGTTTCTATTATGGGGATGATATTTTTATTCATTTCTTTTTGGTTTTTCTTAAGATCTGATTAGGAAACGTAGCCTAGCACTGAGCCAAGTCTTGGGATCCTGCAGCTGCCCAGACCTCTGTCCTGTCAGCCCTTGGTCCCAGAGCTTCACTCGGCCGTTTCCTCTGTCTTAGGTATGGCAAGATCGTCTCCACTAAGGCCATCCTGGACAAGACCACAAACAAGTGCAAAGGTGAGCGAGGAGGGCAGCGGGAGTGCTGGCCGCCGCTCTGCCCTGGGTGCAGAGACCTGGGGGCCGTGCCAGGGAGCAGTGTGAGGTTTTCAGGCTTAGAAGCTGGTGGGTGTTTAGACCACTGGGTGGTACCCAGTAGCTACGGCTGACATGCTGTTTGGGAAACTGGGCCAGCCAACCGCACACAGTCCCTCTGTGACTCTGAGATAGTCTGCACCTGACGCCACATGAGGATTTGGTTGGCTTTTATTTTCTGAAGGTGAGTGGTTTCCTGGGATTTCAAGAAGTTCTTGGTGGAGCCTGAGGAATGAAGGAGAAAGGGCTGTAGGTGGGGGTGGGAAGGGCTTCTCCACTTCTCCAGCCAGTGTCTGGTCATCTGCCTTGCAGTGGCTACATTCCCTGCATGCCAGCTTTTCTGGGGTGTGCCTAGGAAAGAGGGGAGGGGATTCTTTTTGAAGTATGGGGCTGAGCTGTGGGTTATTTAAGGAGCCTAATTCCTGTTACCTCAGATTTCTTAAAGTGGAGGAAGAAAAACGGTGTCCACAGGGACCTCATTCCCCCTGGAATTGTCAGCTACAGAGCAGCGAAGTCTCTGGTTTGGAGGAATGTGTGGATAACCGCCCGAACCCTCCTAACTCCTCTCTCCCTTTCACTTCTGACTCACGGATCATAACTCTGTCTCCTGAGGGCCCAGGCCGCCAGCCCCTTCCCACCTCCCATCTCCCGGTGATGCTGCTTCCTGTTCCAGGCTATGGTTTCGTGGATTTTGATAGCCCCTCGGCCGCCCAGAAGGCTGTCACAGCCCTGAGAGCCAGCGGTGTGCAGGCACAGATGGCAAAGGTAAGGTGTGGTCTCAAGTCTGCTTCCCCTGAGAGGCTGTGGCGGGCACCAAGGTTCCGGCTCCGTGGCTTCCAGAGTGCTCAGGAGCCCTGAAAGCGCCTGACCGGCGAGCGCTCTCTGCAGTGCTTCCTGGCTGTGTCCGACCCTGTGGAGCGCCAGGCTGCTGGGCAGGCTGTATTCAGCACTTGGCGGCAGGCAGCCCCGTGACTGTTCTTCCTGTCAAGTGGAGAGACAAGCAGGAAGGCCAGGGCCTGCCAGACTCCCTCCCGCAGCCGCCTGTCCCTGCCCTGACCCCACCTGCCTCCCAGAGTGTGGCAGCCTTGCGACATTCTCTGAAGAAGCCAGTTGTGCAACTCAGAAGCACAGAACAACACTCTCCACCTCCGGATCCGGTCCCTGTCAGGCGGCGTGGTGGCTTTGGAGGAGGAAAAGCTCAGTAGGAGAGGCATCCTCCCCTGCTCCAATCTGGCTTTTCATCCAGATTACTGGATTTCAGACAGCTGCTTCTCTGCAGTGGAACTGAATGCTGCCTGGCCTGCCGGAGGCCAGCGTGAGCACCTTGTGCAGGGCCGATAGACACGTGCCAGCCTCCTTGCTGACACAATTAAAGGAGAAGGAAACTCTTGGGCCCGGTGCGGTGGCTTAGTGACTAAAGTCCTCACCTTGAACACGCCGGGATCCCATATGGGCGCTGGTTCTAATCCCTGAGGCTCTACTTCCAAACTAACTCCCTGCTTGTGGCCTGGGAAAGCAGTCGAGGATGGCCCAGTGGCTTGGGACCCTGCACCCACATGGGAGACCCGGAAGAGCTCTTGGCTCCTGGCTTTGGATTGGCTTAGCACTGGCCATTGCTGTCATTTGGGGAGTGAATCATTGGGCAGAAGATCTTCCTCTCTGTCTCTCCTCCTCTCCGTATATCTGCCTTTCCAATAAAAATTTAAAAATCTTTTTAAAAAAGTGGACCATTAGATAAGAGCTCTCCATCTTGAAAAAAAAAAAAAAAGCGAGAGAGAGAAGGAAACCCTGGAGAGAGTTGCTGCGGACCCACTGTTATTTTCTATTTTTTTAAAATCTATTTATTGGGGCCATGTATGGCATAGCAGGCAAAGCCCCTGCCTGTGACACTGGCATCCCATCTGGGCACTGGTCCAAGCCCTGGCTGCTGCTCCTCCAATCCTACTCCCTGCTGATATGCCTGGGAAAGCAGTGGAAGATGACACAGTGATTGGGCCCCTACACCCACATGGGCCACATGGAAGAAGCTGCAGGCTGCTAGCTGCGACCTAGCCTAGCCCTAGCTGTTGTGACTTTTTGGGAAATAAACCAGCAGATGGAAGATTTTCACTTTCTGTTCTCTGCACCTCCACCTTTCAAATAAAAAAAAGTAAAATTTTAAGTTTTTCCAGCTCTGCCTTTCAAGGAATGAGAAGGCATTCCTGTTCAGAGGATTCTGCTGTGGCCAGGAGAGGGGAGGCAGTTTACTCAAACAGCCAGGTCATGGGGCAAGGCGGTCCCCCCGGACTCAGCCTCTGGAACAGGCCTTGGGGAAGGGTGGCCATCCTGCTGCATCTTCTTTCTTCTTTTATTTTTTTCCACTTATTTATTTTTATTGGAAAGGCAGATATACAGAGAGGAAGAGAGAGAGGAAGATCTTCCATCTGATGTTTCATTCCCCTAGCGGCCATGATTGCTGGAGCTGAGCCAATCCAAAGCCAGGAGGCAGACCTTCTTCTGGGTCTCCCATTCAGGTGTAGGATCCCAAGACTTTGGGCCGTCCTAGACTGCTTTCCCAGGCCACAAGCAGGGAACTGGATGGGAAGCAGGGCTGCCGAGATTCGAACCGGCGCCCATATTCTGCTGCATTCTTAAGAGTCCAGCCCCACTGATAGCTTAGGATGCCCTTGTAGGGTACAGGGAACACTGAGAACCTGCAGCCATACAGCTGGGTGTTACAAAGTTGAGCGTCTCTTGGTTTACCCAGGTGCTTCCTCTTTGTGGGTGGGATAGGGAAAAGAGACAAGAGCGTTATTTCCCCACTTTTATTTCTACAGCAACAGGAGCAGGACCCCACCAATCTGTACATCTCCAACCTGCCACTGTCCATGGACGAGCAGGAACTGGAAGGGATGCTAAAGCCCTTTGGCCAGGTCATCTCCACCCGCATCCTACGGGACACCAGCGGTACCAGCAGAGGGGTCGGCTTTGCAAGGTGAGGGGAGGCACGTGTGGGAAATGACAAGGTTAATGAGAATGTTGAGAGGTTGCCAAAAAAAAAAAAAAAAAACACCAAAAATCTCAGCCTCCTCAAACTACCCATCAGAAATACTTGACAGTCAGAAGTTCATTTTTTATTGTGAGTCACAAGACTCAAAAACCCACTAGCCCCTAAATCTTTATCTCTGCTCCCACTACTTTCTGCCACTCTAGCCTTGTTTCTTTGATCAAGACTTAAGTGGGGTAAAACGATTTCTTATTTTCATGTAACTTACTGAATATCTTCCCAGTATGTTATCATTTAGTCTGCACAACCGTCACTGTGACCAGTATTCTCCACTTCATCTTATCCGTGGAAAGTGCTAGACTGAACACAATGGTTTTGCAATTTTTCACCTGCGTGGTCAATGCTGGCTGATGGCAAGCATGTGGGCTCTGGCAGGGCGGAAGGGGACATCAGTACCATGGAAGCCGTGGAGCACTTCAGGTCTGAGAATGGCAAGCCCGGCGGGAGGATGACTGCTGCCAGGCATGGGCCACTCAGGTGCTCTGGTTCCTGCTTTATCCTAAGCACCAGACCATTCTTCCTGTGGTTCAGGAGAGCCCCCCGCCTCTGCCCTGTCCCCTCTGAGATCATACTGTCACTGCAGTTCTTCGGGTTCTGTTTTGTCTATTCTCCCCTCCGTGTCTAGCTGAACTAAGATTATGATGTAAAAGCTAAATATCGCCAATAAGCAGATATTCTTCATTTTGCAGATGAGGAAGCTGGATTTCCCGGGATGCAGTAGTTTGCCTAGGGTCTCACTGGGCAGGTGGCACAGCACAGCCCCAGTCCTGCTGACACCCAGATAAGCAGTGTGCAGGAGGCCTGGGTGACTTTTTCAGACCTGTTGGGAGGCCTGCAGCTCAGAGCCGACTGCCACTGACTGTGCCTGCGAGATCAGCCTTGCAGGAATCTCTGTTGAGAAATGGAGATGAACTTAGGGAAGTATTTTTCCTTTGTGCTCCCTGGAGCTGCAAGGTCTTCTAGGGCTCCTCCTGGTCACTGGTGTCACAGTCGGCCTTCAGCTCTCCTAAGAATGTCTTCACTTTTGTTTATTTTAAGGTTTTGTTCAAAAGAAGATTCTGTTTTGACTTTTAGTTCAAAAATTACTGGGCTAAAATTGCTTCTTGTCCCGTGGTATCTTGTCTGGTGCCTTCCTGTTGCAGATGGCTTCCCTCAGTGCTTCATCATAGTGCTGCCACCTGCTGGCATTCCCAGGAATAACCCCAGGAGAGCTCTGGACTTGTGGCCAGCTGCCTCTGCTCCCATCCTCTCCCTCAAAGCTCAGTCCCTCCACCTTTCCCAGTTCAGGGTACCCTTAGAGAATATCTTGTCTCTCTGGGACAAAAGAAATGCTAAACTGTTCAGTTTATTAAGTAACCAAAGGATTTACATAGCCATTTGTCAAATGTTTAACAACTTTGTAGCTGTTTGGAAAACACACACACACACAAATATTGAAAGAAAAAATATTTCATCTTTAAATAACAGCACTTGTGAAAGAGTTGCAGCTTCCCAAACCTTGGCATCAAAATGAGCACTCATACCTCCTTTTTTGTTGCACGTTGATGATCTTACAGTCCTTGCTACTATTGAAAACCCAGCTTTGCAAAAAGATGTAGAACTCGTATTAAAAAGGTGACGGGGCTGGTGTTGTGGCATGGTGAGTTAAGCCACTGCCTCTAACACCAGCATCCCACGTGGGTACTAGTTCAAGTCTCAAATGTTCCACTTCCAGTTCACCTCCCTGCTAAATGTGACTGGGAAAGCAGCAGAAGATGGCTCAAGTCCTTGGGCCCCTGCTGCTCACATTAGACACTGGGAATAACCTTTAAAAAAAAAAGATTTATTTATTCTTTTTGGAAAGTCAGATTTACAGTGTGAAGGAGAGACAGAGAGAAAGATCTTCCATCTGCTGGTTCATTCCCCAAGTGGCCACAACAGCCAGAACTGAGCTGATCCAAAGCCAGGAGCCAGGAGCTTTTTCTAGGTCTTCCACGTGGGTGCAGGATCCCAAGGTCTGGGGCCACCTTAGCTACTTTTCCAGGCCACAAGCAGAGAGCTGGATCAGAAGTGGAGCCGCTGGAATTTGGACTGGTGCTCACATGGGATATCAGTGTTACAGGTGGCAGATTAGCTGCTTTGCCATGGCTCCTGTCCCAATATTGCCGTTCATATGCTGGGATCCTGTATGACCACTGGTTCTAATCCCGGCGGCCCTGCTTCCCATCCAGCTCCCTGCTTGTGGCCTGGGAAAGCAGTTCCAGGACGGCCCAAAGCCTTGGGACCTTGTACCTGCATGGGAGACCCGGAAGAGGCTCCAGGCTCCTGGCTTCAGATTGGCTCAGCTCTGGCTGTGCAGCTGCTTGAGGAGTGAATCATCAGATGGAAGATCTTCTTCTCTGTCTCTCCTCCTCTATATATCTGACTTTATAATAAAAGTTTTAAAATTTTATTTTATATGAAGTACATTTTGGGGTTTTTTTCAAGATTTTATTTTATTTATTGGAAAGTCAGGTATACAGAGAGAAGGAGCTACAAAGAGAACAATCTTCTATCCACTGGTTCATTCCCCAAATGACTGCAACAGCCAGAACTGAGCTGATCCAAAGCCAGGAACTAGGAGGTTCTTTAAGGTCTCCCATGCGGGTCCCAAGGCTTAGGGCCATCTCCTACTGCTTTCCCAGGCCACAAGAAGGGAGCCAGATGGGATATGGAGTAGCCAGAATATGAACTGGTGCCCATGTGGGATCCTAGACAAGGCAAGGATTAAGCCACTAGGCTATCACACCTGGTTCATTAAGTGCATTTTATTAGAAATGCTTCTCCTATTACACAGATACATTTTATTTTGTTTAGATTTTGCTAAATTAGGTCGTGTAGCCATCAGTGTATTGATTATTCCTGTAACAAGAGAGGATTTGACACCCAGTCCTGTTGCTGCTTTTCTGCTTCTCTGCTGAGAAGCCTTGTTTGCGGAAAGGAGTATCCAGAAATGGAAGGGGTTTTGTTCAAGGTAGATATCTTCCTAAACGATATGCTCAGAATCAAGAGAATCTTGTCATCAAAGTTGATTCTTTTTTAATAGGAAGGTGTTGTTAAAGTACTCCAGTTCTGATGAAAGCAAATCAGCGGAGACCGTCTGACTTGCCAAGGGATTTGTAACTCAGTGCAAGACAGTGCTTGCTGTTGAGTCTTCGCAAGGATGGACAGTGAACCGAGGTGTGACTGTGAGGCTGTGGGGGACTGGCTCACTGTCAGCCCTTGGAGCTCTCCCCCAGGGAGAGCAGTGTGAGGAAGCTGAGGTTCTGACACCCTTCCTGGCTCCTCTGGGCCCTGGTAAAACTGTGAGGGGAGCAAGGGACCCCAGCAGAGGTGCCTACTACTCTGGAAGACGGAAGGGGCGGTTCTCGTTCAGTGCCTCCTTTGCCTCCTCTTGTTAGTCACCTCCTGTAGAGGGAAGGTGCATACGTTCAGCGGTAACTGCTAGAGAGAGCAGACCTAGACGTAAGTGTGGGAATAGGTGAGGATGCTATACCTCGTGCTGCATGGCCCGCGTGACTTCTAGAGCCAGCCAGTTTCTGTGGCCGTGTTGGATTTGTACAGCGCTGTGTGGCAGAGCACGTGGGGACTGTCTCAAGGCGTCCTGGATCACCAGGCAATGGGTCGGGAGCTGCAGCTGCAACCTAGATCAGACGGATTCCTCAGGCCTCTCCCCAACAAGCACTTTTAATCGGTAGTTCTCAGCCTCCCTCTTTCTGTCCCAGTGACCCGAGAACACTTTCTTACTAAAGGGTTGGCACTTGGGAAAATCTAAATGACGCTACCTTAACTAATTGATAACTGTAGCCAGAAGCAAAAAGTAAATACCAACAAATTCTCAGCTTGTAAAATTGTGTCAGAGCAACGAACGATTTCTACTCCGTCTGAATTTTGTATTTGAAAAATTTGAGTAACAGCTACTATTTCTTGTCCCAGACCCACAAGTAGGCCTATGTGACAATGTCTGCTTTGGAACAGGTAATGGCTTGAAGACCTCCACTCCCCACTGGTCTCTGGTGAGCCCCAATGGGAGCCAGTGGAGAGAACCTTTAATAGGTATCATATTCCTAGCTCGGATGTGGCTGCCAACAGTCATGGCTCGGGAGTGCTTGTGCGGCTGGGGACGCAGGGCTTTCTTCTGAGTGTGTGAGAGCCCTGCCCTCCAGTGGCTAGAGCCTGACCCATGTTGTATTCCTCAGGATGGAGTCCACCGAGAAGTGTGAGGCCATCATCACCCACTTCAATGGAAAATACATCAAGACACCCCCTGGAGTACCAGGTGAGGCATCTGGAAGCCAAGCTGAGAGAGTCGCAGGCTGTGCCAGAGGAAGGGGGCCAAGTGGGGTGGGCCTCAGCCACCCATCTGCTTTCTCTCTCCTGGCAGCCCCGTCTGATCCTTTGCTTTGCAAATTTGCCGATGGTGGGCCTAAGAAACGACAAAACCAAGGAAAATTTGTGCCAAACGGAAGAGCCTGGCCAAGGAGCGGCGACGTGGTAAGAGGACCTCAGAGGGAACAGGAGTGCTCGAGGGTGTTGAAGTGGAAGGAAACGTCCATGGCGTGAGGTCTGTGAGTCGGGTAGCAAGCTCCAGAGCCTTGCCTCTGCGGCGCTGGCCCTGCAGCTTGCACAGCCAGAAAACTCCGCAGCAGCTTCAGTGAAACTCGCCCCAACTTCGGTCCACTAAACCAAAGGCTTCAAAAACAAAAACAAAACAGGCTTCACCAGTCCTGGCCTTCTGGTCTGGCTCCTGTTCTCATGCAAGCGCTCACAGTGTGAATTTTATGTTCTTTTCTTTGTAGGGTGGTATGGCCTTGACCTATGACCCCACCGTAGCTCTGCAGAATGGGTAAGGGTGTTAAGTATCATCGGACTGCCTGTGAATGACCATGGCCTGTGTCCAGGCACTCTAGGGATCCCCAGTTAACTAGCAGGAGGTGGCTGTGTTTATCAGTGCAGGCCCTAGCTTTGTCACTCATTGCTGACTGATGGTCCTTCCTCCAGGTTCTACCCAGCCCCTTACAACATCGCCCCCAACAGGATGCTTGCTCAGTCGGCACTGCCCCCCTACCTTCCATCTCCTGTGTCTTCCTATCAGGTATGTGAGTCCCCAGAGCAGGGTTAGTCATTGTCGGCCACTGTATTTAAGATGAAGGCACATACGGGTAGAAATAGAAACTAGTTGGTTTCTCTTATTTTTGGTCTGTAGAGAGTACACACATTGTCCTAATGCTAATGGGATCCTCTTGTCCTCCTTCTACCATCCCTATAATAAACACACACTAATTCCCTACTGTATGACATTTTCCATATTCTTCATGTAAATATACAAATACACAAATGTATAAGGTTTGGGGAATTGTTCAGTTTACAGAAATTGAATCATAGTAAATAAATATTTAGCACTTATCTCTTTTAGCAAAATCTTTAAATCAGTAATTCTCAAACTGTGGTGTTGAAAAAGACCAGAGTATTGGCATACACTTGGAATTTCTTTTCTTTTTGTGTTTCTTTTTAATATTCTTCGCATAGTTGAGAGGGATGCACACCCCATCTGGGCCTCTAATTAGGGTGGGGAGGGTCAGGTATGAAGGAAAGTGGGTGGAAAAAAGGTCTCAGTTTTTGTTTTTTCTCCTGTGTCCACAGAGGAGAAAGGCAAGGAGGGCCCGCCCTGCTGTCCAGCTGTGTCAGCATTGCGGAAAGGGGCCCACATCTCACCTACCAGGCCCATTCCCGGCCCCAGATCTTACACTGCCAGCGGGTACGGTGGTCCAGTCTGACATGACTCAGCCCTGGCACTTGCCAGCTGGTGCTGCGGCATAATCTGACTGGCCCACACCCAGTCCCAGCTCTCATGCTTACCTGTGGAAGCAGCAGCCCAGCAGGGGAGTCCCTGAGGTTCCTTTGATAGGCCCGTCCCAAACCTGGGCCAGCATTGCCAACAGGTATTGTGGCCCAGTCTGAGACCCTAGAAATTTCTGAAGCGTAATTCTTTGGGCTCCTCTCCAGATCTGCTGTGTTAGAAACTCAAGATGGGGCACAGCCACCTGGGCTTCTCCCAGTGACCCTGTGGCATGGGTCCGGAGGTCCTCTGTGCTGGGGACTGCTTGCCTGGAGGTAGCATTCCATAGGTTTTATACCAGATTTTTTCAGCTGTTCCTAGGGTGGGTATTGGCTTAAACTTTGGATTGGTTTTGTTGTTGTTTTCTGTTACAAAGAGCTTTCTAGAAACGTCCTTGCACCTGTGTTCTTACAGATGAGTGCTTTTGTTCTTTTGTTTCTGGAGACTCATGTCCCAGCAGTGGGATTATGAGGTTGAACAAAATGTGCATTTTCAGTTTTATAAATTTTGTCGGACTGCTTTCCACAAACCTTGTCAATTTTCATTTCCTTCAGCTGCACGAGAAAGCACCCATGTCTCTCCTGCCACACACATCTTTGTTCTGTTTAAATTTTTCCTGTTTCCAGGCATGTAAAGTACCTTGTTATATTTCACTTGGTATTTCACTGGCTACACATTTTGATTTGCAATCCCCTAATGGCTACACATGTGCTTTGCCCATTTTCCTATTTGGTGATTTGCCCTTTCCCATCAGCATATAAGACTCTTCCTGTGTTATAAATATTAGCCCTCTGAATGTCTTTGTGATGAGGTGGGTTTTTTTTCGGATCTACTTTTTGTCCATTGACTTTGTGGATGTCCAGCTGAAGCTGTGGATGAGAATCACTTCAGGGGCTGGCGCCCTGCCTAGGATTTCTGGATCGGTAAATCCAGGTGCAGGGTATGAATTCAGACCCATGCAAGTTCTGGGGTACTGCTGGTGCTGGGCTACTGACCCGACTGTGGGAATCGTAAGTTTCTACCACGTAAAAGTTTAAAATTTACATGTAATTAAATATGTTGTTTTCATCTACAATCTTGAATTTCCTGTCTTAATTATAAAGGTCTTCCCAGTCTGTATATTATAGATCTAGTGCCTAAGATTTTATTTTATTGTTTCACACTTAAATGTATAATCATTAGGGATTTATTTTTCTTCTTCTTAAGACTTTTTACTTATTTGTTTTTTTTAAGATCCATTTATTTTTATTACAAAGTCAGATATACAGAGAGGAGGAGAGACAGATAGGAAGATCTTCTGCCCAATGATTCACTCCCCAAGTGACCGCAACGGCCGGTGCTGCACCCATCCGAAGCCGGGAACCAGGAACCTCTTCCAGGTCTCCCAGCAGGTGCAGGGTACCAAAGCTTTGGGCCATCCTTGACTGCTTTCCCGGGCCACAAGCAGGGAGCTGGATGGGAAGTGGAGCTGCCAGTATTACAACCGGCGGTTATATGGGATCCCAGCACATTCGAGGCAAGGACTTTAGCTGCTATGCCATAGCGCCGGACCCAAGACTTCTTACTTATTTGAATGACAAAGTGACACAGGGAGGGTTAAGAGAAGATCTTCCATCTGCTGATTCAGTCCCCAGATGGCCACAATGGGCAGACTCAAATTCCACTCAGGTCTCCCGTGTGAGTGGCCGGGACCCAACACTTGAACCATTGCTTCTGTTTTCCAAGTACTTTAGCAGGGGGCCAGATGGGAAGCAAAGTAGCCAAGACCCAAACTGGCTCTCCCTTATAGGTACAGGGTGCCCCAGGCAGTGGCTTTTATCCTGCTGACCACAACATATGCCCCTGCAGGAGCTCTGCTTATGTAAGACAGAAGGCAGGGGGCTTACTAGATTTTCTTGCAGCATGTTATCTGGTTGTCCTAATGCCAAATTATTAAGTAACCTCTCCTTTTCCTACTGAGTTGAAGTGCTCAGACAGACTGTAATACATTTTCTGTGTCTTTGACTTGGCTGTGATGGGCATTTTATATCAATAGACTCATATAGGGCCCGGTGCTGTGGCCTAGGGGCTTAAGTCCTTGCCTTGAACACGCTGGGATCCTATATGGGTGCAGTTCTAATTCCAGCTGCCCCCTTCCCATCCAGTTCCCTGCTTGAAGACAGCCCAAAGCCTTGAAACCTGTACCATGTTGGAGGCCCAGAAGAGGCTCCTGGCTATAGATTGGCTCAGCTCCAGTTGTTGCAGCCACTTGGAAAGTGAATCATCGTTTGGAAGATCTTCCTCTGTCTCTCTTCCTCTGTCTCTCTTCCTCTTTATATATCTGACTTTGCAATAAAAATAAATAAATCTTAAAAAAAAATAGGGTCCTGGCATGATAGCATAGCAGTTAAAGTCCTTGCATGAATCTGCCGGGATCCCATGTGGGCACCGGTTCCACTTCCCATCCAGTTCCCTGCTTGTGTCCTGGGAAAGCAGTGGAGGACAGCCCAAAGCTTTGGGACCTTGCACCTGTGTGGGAGACCTGGAGGAAGCTCCTGGCTCCTGGCTTTGGATTGACTCAGCTCCAGCTGTTGCACTCACTTGGGGAGTGAACCATCAGATGGAAGATGTTCTTTTCTGTCTCTCCTCCTCTCTGTATATCTGCCTTTCCAATAAAAATAAATCTTTATAAAAAAAAGGAATTATTTATTAAAAAAAGAATAGAAGCACATAGTGCATGGTCTTTACAGTTATATATATATTTGAGATGCAGTATGACAGAGAGGGAGAGACAAAGATATCTTATCATGTGCTGGTTCATTCCCGTAAAGGCCTCCATGGCCGGCCAAGGCTGGGCCAGCACCTGTAACTCCAGCTGGGTCTCCCACACAGATGCAGGGAGCCAAGCACTTGTGCCATCTTCCAGTGATGTCCTAGGCATGTACGGGAGCTGAATTGGAAGTGGAGCACCACGGGGCGAGAACTCGTGCTCCAGTGTGTGGTGCAAGTGTCACGGGTGTGGCCTGACCACTGCACGTCGGCCTTCCACCACATGATCCTCTGTGTTTGATGTATCTCACTCAGCGTGTCCAGTGCTTCATTTTCTTAGCTGGCTGATACTCCCTTGTGTGAATGTACCACCTTTGGTTTACCAGTTGGCCATCGGAGTCGTCCCCTCCGTTAGCTATGTGAGTGTTGCTTCTGGGAACACTTGTGTAGGAGTTTTTGTGTACACTGTTGGGTATATATATAATTTGAGTATCTTTCATGTGCTTAATGGACATTTGTATATCATTTTAGGTAAGTGCAAATATTTTGCCCGTCTGAAATTTTATTTAAGGTGTATGCACACACACGGACACGCATGACAAAGATAAAATATATATATAGGATGTTCCATACTCCCATGTGCTGGCAGAGTCACCAGATGTCTGCAGCAGCCAGTGGTGGGCTGAAACCTGGTGGGAACTGACAACTGGGAGCTCAGTCTTGGTCTCCCATGGGGATAGCAGGAGCCCAGTCACTACAGCCATCAACTTAGCCGCCTACAGGCAGCACTGGCTGACATGCTGCAGTTGGGAGCTGCAGCCAAGACCGAGACCCAGGGACTTGGATTGTGGTAGAGAAGTCCCTTAAACCGTGTCTTATTCAAGATTGATTTATTGAGATCAGCATTGTGAAACTGCAGGTTAAGCGGCCGCCTGTAAAGGCTGGCATCCCATATGAGCACGGGTTTGAGTCCCAGTTGCTCCTCTTCTAGTCCACATTCCTGCTAATATGTCTGGGAAACAGTGACAGGGAGCTGGATCAGATTAGAGCAGCTGGGTCTCACACTGGCTGCACCTGCCAAGTCACAATGCCAGCCCCTTAAACAGGATTTTACCCACCAGGCTCAGTGCCTAACCCTTTTATGGTTTTTGTCAGTGGGGTTATTTGTTGAGTTGGAAGAGTCACTAATTCATTCTCTTTCTCTCTCTCTCTCTCTCTCTCTCTCAATCTCTCTCTGTTATTGAGAAGGCAGATTGACAGAGATAAGGAGACAGAGAAAAAGATCTTCCATCTACTGGATTGCTCCCCAAGTGGCTGCAGCAGCTGCAGCTGAGCCAATCAGGAGCGAGGAGCTTCCTCCAGGTCTCCCATATGGATACAGGATCCCAAGGCTTTGGGCCATCCAGAGTAGGGAGCTGGGCCTTAGTCAGGCCAAAGCAAGGAGTCAAGAGCTTCATCTGGGTCTCCCACATGTGTGCAGGGACCTCAGGACTTGGGCCAATTTCTGCTGCTTTCCCAGGTGTATTAAAGGAAGCTGGATCAGAAGTGGAACAGCCAGGATGGGAACTGGGGCCCGTATGAAATCCAGGTGTCACAAACGGCTTTACCTGTTATTCCCACAATGCTGCTAGCCTAACATTCTTTTAAGTATTTCTTCTTAATCTTTATTTTCTGAAGGGAGCATTGCAACTTTTGCTAGGCTTTGTGGAACATGATCAAGTCACTGAGCTGAACAGTGGTTTCTAGGCCGTTAACATGGCTCTGGTTTGTTTTTGCATGTGTTAGAGAGTGACTCAGACTTCTCCTCTGCAAGTCCCTAACCCATCCTGGGTGCATCACCAGTCATACCTCATGCAGCCTTCGGTGAGTGTTCAGAAGGGGCTGGAAGCAAAAGAAGCAATTTGATGTGAAGCACAGTGGGCTTTGATGGCAGGGAGGCTGTGAGTTCTGGTCAGGCCCAACTGTAAGACCTTGGATTCTGTGTTGGTGGTTCTTAGACGAAGACCCCTCCAGACAGATGGGTCCACGCTGAGCCAGGGTGCTGCTCCCCTGTCTTGTCCCAGGGCTTTGCATGTCTGTCTTCAGTGATCCTGATAGCCGTCAGTCACTGCTGTGGGTAACCTCAGGACGCTGTGCTTGCCTCTAGGGCTCAGTTCTGACACCAGGAATGGATCACCCCATTTCACTGCCACCAGCCTCCATGATGGGACCCCTAGCCCAGCAACTGGGCCACCTCTCCCTTGGCAGCACAGGCACGGTAAAGCGGGCTCTTTCTTTTTTTCTTTTTAACTTGGTCAAATATATATTCACTTATCTAGAAGGCAAAGTGTCAGAGCAGGAAAGACCAAGAAAGAGGCCTTTTAGATCCGTGAGTTCACTCTCCATGTGGCTGCAATGGCCAGGCCTTGGCCCAGCCAAAGCCAGGATCCAGGAACTCCACTGAGTTTCCCATCTGGGTGCCAAGAACCCAGGTACTTGGGCCAGCTGCTGCTGTTCTTCAGGCACCTTAGCGGAGAGCTGGATCAGAAGTGAAACAGCTGGAATTTCAATTGGTGTTTCTATGGGATGCCAGTGTTGTAGGCAGCAACCTAACATGCTGTGCCTCAGCGCCAGCCCAAAGCAGGTGTTTGTGGCGATTAAGTCCTGTGTTGAGACTCTTCACCTGAATGCTCAGGAGTGACGGTGGCCTCACTCCAGCCTCCACAGGGGGCACTCAGCACAGGAGAGGAGCTAGAGCAAGAACACAGCCCCTCCGCTCCCCTCCCCACTCCCCCGCCCGCCCAGCCCTGACTCACAAAGCTCAGCGGTGCACGTTTCTCTCCATATTTCAGACTTCACTCACTTCTTACACATCCACACGGAGATCCTGGGGTTGGGTGGGCAGGGGAGGTATAAAAAGAGCAGGCAGTGTGGACGGGGCCTCTGATGTGTACTGCTGCCTCCTGGCCTGCACCGGTGGCTTCAGGGCAGAGCCAGAGGGAGGAGAGGGAAAAGAGAAAGGGAGGAAATTGGGTGGTGCAAGCGTGCCTGGCCAGCCCTGAGAAGCCATGCTGCGCCAGCGAGACAAGCGTCTCTGGGGCTGGAGCACAGGCACTGGTGTTGTCCAGCCTCACCGGGGCTTCAAACAAGAGCCCCTGCTCTGAGCCCATAGGTGTGTCTTGTTCCAGTACCTGCCGACGGTGGCAGCCATGCAAGGAGCTTATATCTCCCAATACGCCCCTGGACCTTCCTCCAGTGTTTCAGTCGAGGTAAGAGTGTCCGTTGTCTCTCTGGGTCAAGATCTGCTCACAGTGTCACTGTGTTCCCCAGACATTGTTGGGCTCGGAAGGGATGTGTGAGGGAAAGCCTGGGGTCCATGCTGGCATGCTGGCTGGCAGGAGACAGGCTGCTGGCACTGTGTGTGAACAGGGATGGGAGGTGAGGGAAGGAAGGCGTGAGCCGATGACTCTCCTCTATGGCCCTGGCACAGGACAGCAGCGGCCAGCAGAGCCAAGTGGCAGTCGATGCCCCCTCCGACGCTGCTGTCTATTCCTTCCAGTTCAGCAAGTGACTGGGTAAGCTGTTGCACGCTGGGGAGGCTGTGCTGTGATAGGAGATGCCACTTCTCCCGCCCTCCCCGCCTGCCTGGAACTGAAGAGAATTTCTGGCAATGCAGGTGCTCCTGGGCCTGAGTCTGGAGGACGCCTGTGGCCTGGCAAAGGCCTAATCCGGGCCATTGTCTCCTGCAGGCACAGGCCTGGAACAGGCATTGATGCCCTCCCGCCCTCTGCTTGCTGTCCGCTGCCCATAGAGCCTGGGCGAGCCGTCACTTGGGGATGTCGCAGTCTTGGGGATCAAAACACTTTTTTCTTTTGGCAAAGAAAGTCTTGTGTCCCGCTGGTAGCTGTGCTGCGGTTTTTTTTCCCTCCCCTAAAGAGCTCAGCCTGAGCGGCATCTCCCTGGGAGGAAACCCGGTTTTGATGTATGGGGATTATTTTTGAAGGCTTCCTAAATAACTTGTTAATGTTCTTTTATGAACACCCAGGGAGTGATGGCGCTGGCACATTGAGGGACCCCTGCCCGCCACAAACCCTAGATCTGGACCCTGGGTGCGTGCACGTGCGGGAGTGCGGGCTGCTCACCTGTGGCCCCACTGCACAGCCCCGCCAGTCCTTGTGCAGCTCCTGCCTCCTCTTCCCTCTGATCGGTCATTTTTTCTTTTCCATGACCTCTGACCGTACCTGCTTCACCTTTGTACAGTTTTTGATTTTGTGTTTTTTTAGTGAAATTTCATATGGAACAGGACCAGGGGAAGGGGTAATTGGGCCCGAAATGAGGTGAGGGAAGCTGCTTTTCCACCCTTGGCCTGTCTTCCTGTTGGAAAGAAGGGCCAGCCTGTGCTTCAGGCCAGAGGCCCGGGAACCAGACCAGCCACAGCCCTTGGAAGCCATCACAGGGCCCAGCAGGGCTGAAGACCAGGTCTTCCCCGGCGAGCTCGGATGTGCAGACTCTCTCCTCTGCGTGGAGCAAGTGCCTTTGCAGCTGTGGCCTCTGGAGACACCTGCCTTCTGCCTGGAGACATCTGTCCTTGTGCCCCCTGGTCACCTGGCTGGCCAGCCTCCCCATGGCTCACCACTGTACTGGCAGCCTCTGCGCTGAGTTTACCCAGGCTCCTTCCCCGGGAGGACTTGCTGCTTTGCCTGTGGACCTGGGGCTCTGGTGACGGCAGCGCTATCTGGAGACACCTTCCATGCTGTGCCTGCGGGAGGCTGAGCTGGCTACATAGCTCCTGGCGTCCAGAACAGCCTCACCACCCCAGCCACAAAGCGCCTTGGACCCCAGACTAATGCCCACGTGGGAAGACCTCATTCCAGGGTTGGTCTAATTTCTGGGGTGGGGTTAAGTTCCCACCCCAGCCCAAGACACCTCAGGCCTTGTCACATCCATGCACCCAGCCTTGGTAGGATCTTTGCATTCTTCTTAGGCTTTGACCTGGGTCACTGTGGCCATAGCTTGCACCAAGTGCGGAAAGACTGAGCTCTGGAAGTACCCCAGACACCTGCCTGCCCTGCTGTGCATGGGCCCCTTCCCCAGGGAGCAGGTAGAGAGGCCAATAAATCCTTTCTCTGCTGAAAGGGCAGGAGTCCTTCCAAAAGCCCATGTGCCTCCCTTCAGCTGTCCCCTCCCAGCCTGGCAAGATCTGACTGCACAGGGAGGCAGATGGCGCCCAGCCTTGGCTACAGGCTGAGGAACATCAGTTCCAGCTGCTGGCTCCCCCAGTCACACCCTCTCAGGCTGAAGAGAATTCTCCCTTCACCTCCCACAGGCACCTGTCTGCTAGGCCTCGGGCAGGCAAAGCAAACCAGCGGAGGGAGAGGCGGCTACAGGATGGGAGGGCGAGCCACAGAGGATGAGCATGCTGTCTTTTGGCTTGGGCCCAGCCTTCCCTGGCTTGCCCTGCCCCAGATTGCCCCCCCCCACACACACACACCTAGGGGAATAGCCATGTTTTCTCTGGTTGTGTCCAACCTTGGAAGGGGTTGTTCCAGTGTAAAGAGCCCCAAACTTGAGCAGCCTGCCAGAAGGGCCTGACTGAGCAGATGAGCCTCAGTTAGTCCCCAGCCTCAGTGCAGGGAAATGCTCTGTAGCCACTTTCTTGCCAGTGCCTTCTGAGAAACAAATCCCATCTAGAATCCTGCGTGACTGATGGCAGTTGGCAGGCTTGCTGTGAGGTTCAGTGCAGGGGCCCAACACACATGCCACAGCCATCCAGCCTTTGCTTCCCAGAGTCCCTGATCCTGGCCCCTTTCTGTGTTTAGAACACTGTTTCAGAGTCTTTGCTGTGTTTTAAGCTGTGAGGGCTCCTCATGTGAACCAAGTCTCTTGGGCACAGGCAGCGGGGTGTGGGGGAGCCTGGGGTGGCCTTCCACGGTTAGTGGCCCTGGGCAGCTGCCTGGTGGTGCTTCTGATTTCCACTCTAACTTCCCTCTGGCTGTCCACGCATTTCATGAAGGAGTGGGGGAACAAGAGGCCGCTTACCCAAAGCCCCCAGGCTCCACTGGGCACTGTCCACGCTGTGCCCAGTGTGAATCCAGCCTGACAGAGCCCAGCTCCTGCTTGTCCACTCTCTCCTTCCTCTTGTGCCCCAACTCATCAGAGGCTGGGAACCTCAGGACCGCTTAGAACTTTGTATCTTTCTGTATTCAAAGAGATTGTACGAGGTGGCAGGGCCCTTTCCTGGGCTCCAAGCCTGATGCCCGGCCGCTCTCCTGCCTAGGTGCCGATGTGGAACTCGGACCTGAGGCGGACGGGACTGCTGAGGGATGTGGGGAGGCTAGGGAGAGGCGGCATGCTATTTCGCCAGCCAAAGAATTTGAAGAGCTGCCCAGCCTAGGACACCAAGTGGCCCTGAGCAGTGTCCTTGCTTGTCAGTAAGGGTGGTGGGAGGCACCACCTGCTGCTGCCCCACAGGCTGTGCTGGCTCAGCCACCTGAGCCTCTGAGGCTTCTGCCATCCCCAGCCTGCTTCTGCACCTGCCTTGGTGCCTCCAGGGCAAGCGTCCCCTGTGGCTGCAGGTTTGGGGGGCGGAGGAGGAAGCAGAGGCCCCAGGTGGGCTGTCACTTCCCTGATACACTGCAGGGTCCTGACCAAGGTTGCTCTCTTGTGCACAGGCCGCACCTTCCAGACGGGCGGCAGTGAGGGACTGTTCTGAACCTGAGGGCTTCAGAGGTGGGTGTCGCTGAAAGCAGTCTAGTAAGAGTAGGGGCCCTAGACCTTGTGCCTTCTACCGATTCTTCCCAACTTTTAAACCAGCTGTTCCATCCACACATCAACCTGTTGTTCCTGGTTTGTGCTCCACATCCACCTGCCCTTGTGGACAGCTGCAGTATCTGCCGAATTTTGGGCCATCCCTGTCTTAGCGCAGTCTCTGGTTATCCATTACCACAGCTGGCTCTCTGGTCTGCCCCTCTACAGTCCAAGCAGATCCCAACTTCCTTGTCCTTGTTACTCGTCTACCTCAGTCTCACAGTCAGACAAGGGCATGGCACTCCAGGTCCACCTCTTTGCCGGCTTCCTCATCTTAAGGGTCAGAAAAGCTGGGTTCTAGGCCATGAGCATGGGCAAAGGTCTTGGACACTGCTTCTGGGCTGTCTTCAGGCCCTGACAGGCAGTGGGGAGGCTGCCCGTGGCTGAGTGCACCAGGAACCAGAAGTGTATGCAGATTTGTACGGGCTGGGTGGGAGTCATGGTGAGGTTTTTTGGCCTGAGACACCCCCCCCCCATTATTGGCATCTTCACCCCAGTCAAAGGGGTGGCGAACTCTGTTGCATACATTTATCACCTTGGACAGGAAGTAAATTAACTTTTTGTACATTTTTTTCCTTTTATTCAGTCTCCAAGCTTTGTACTTCCATGGCAGTGCCACGCCTGTACCTCACTTTTCTGACCTTTGGCCTTCCCATGTTGCTGTTCTACAGTTTAATAGAGCTTTGTTTTATCTTTTTTTTTTTAAATAAAAAGTCTACATCTTTGGTGTCTTACGCATGCATGGCTGGGAGACAAGAGGCTAGTGATGGCCTATGCTTTCCTCCAGGGACATGGTGGCGGCTTAGGAAGGGGAAACTGGGCACACCGGATCACACATTGCCTGAGCCCCCAATTCCTGGCTGCAGCACTGGCACCATCAGACTCCTTCGTGCTGCCCTGTGTCAGGGACAGCCATGCTGGGCAGCTCAGGGGCACGCTGTTCCCTGCAGGTCCCAGAGGCTGTGCCGAAGGGAAGATAAACACACACAGAGGCCTCGAGTCTCTATCAAATGTGGTTTTTATTCAACTGACAAGCACTTTTCTACAGCTGCACTTGTGGAACATCACATGGCAAAAACAGGAGGTTTTTTTCTCTAGACTTTTTTTTTTCCTTTTTTTAACCTTATTAAAAATGAGATTGGTCCTAAAAATATAGAAAGAAATAAATTTAAATTCACAAAAAACTGTACATTATCAAAAAGTCACTAAAACACCACATTTGGTTATATAAAAGTCAGTCCCTTTTGCTGTAAAGGAACATGGAAACTTGTAGGTGTTGGTGGTGTGGTTCTTCCTGCTACCAGACCGGTAGGGGAGGGGAACAGAGGCTGGCGGCCTGTCGGTCTCTTGTGAATCTGTCTTCCCTACAAAATACTCTTTGTCCAGGAGAAAAAAGCCACCTAGCTCGAGGGGCGGTGAAGATGAGGAGAGAGAAGTGAGAAATGGCCCCTGGGATCATGCCCTACCCGCCCCCTGCAGTCCCCCACATCTTCAGACTTGAGGTGAGGACCCCCCACCCCTACTGGAGAGCGCCTGGTCCCTAGGGAAAGAGGTGGGCAGGGGGAGGAACACCAGCGGGAGCCCCGCGCCAACAGTCCCTAACATCTGGCCAACACAAAGTTTGTTACAGCGAAGTTACTTAGATAAAATATAAATATTTATGCATAATATAAAGTCAATTCAAATATTCTTCAATCCACCTCTTATTTAAAAGCAAAAAACAAAAAATCTCAAATAAAGTTAAAAGTTTTGAGGTTTATCTGACAAAAGGCGACTTTAGAAATAGGCTATCGGGGAGAAGACACGTTGGGGGTGAGGCTGCCCCAGCACTGCCAGTGCCGCCGTCCCCTGCCAGGGAGCTTGCCCAACACCCCAGCTCTCCGCCTGCCTGGGCCAGCCAGCAGCCACCTCCCCAGTGCAAGTACCCGTAATCTCTGACGGGAGGGGCTCTGCTGAGCAGGAAAGCGGGGGTTGGGGGGCCAGGGCTCTCACGGGCACTTGGTGGCTTTCCTCTCACCTGGCAGGGACTTGACTCAGCGCTGGCTGCATGGGCAGCAGCAGGCCTGGGACACCCCTCCCCTCTCTCCTGGGCTCCAAGGCTCTGCAGAGCAGGGGAGGCCAGCAGGAGGGAAGCACCCCGATACCCACAGAGCTCCTGGGCTTAGAGAAGCTCCAGTTCTAGCTCTCCCACGGAGGGAGCACAGGCTGACAGATTGCACAGTTTGAAGAGGCTAGAAAAGAAAAGCGGGAGGAGAGAAACACAGCCTGGTCCCCGAGAACCTGTTCCTGCAGTTTCCCATAGACTAAGAAAGTGATGGTTTGAAGGATGGCCGAGGGAGTAAGGACAGAACCGGGGGAAACTGAAGGGATCCCGGCCCACCATCACAGCAGCCCCTCCCTGTCTGTCTCTTACACACTCATTCTCACATACCAGGCCAGTTCACTGCTCCCTGGCCTTCATCGGGGTGTGCCCGAACTCAGCAGTAGTTGTCCCTGAGGAGTTCCCAAGAGGGAGGTTTAGGAAGGAGTGGAGAGGAGGCTGCAAGGCCCAGGGCACCTCCCACACTCCCCAGCTGCTGAGCTACAGAAAAGGCTAGAAACTCAGCACTGAGGAGCACCCCACTCCACGGGGGAGGGAGGACAGAAAGACAGGGAGCTCCAACATTGTTTCTTCCTTTGAAGGGTTGAAATTTGGGAGAAAGGAGGGGGGAGAACCCGTACACGATAGTTTTACATTATTGGATGAGAGAAAATTTGAAAAATGGAGGGCGGAGTGGAGGGGGAGAGAAGAGAGAAGCAGGCAGGGTAGGACTGAACATGGAAGCAGCATGTTCAGGGCCCGGTGTCCGGCTCGACACACTTGGGAGTTAAGTCCACTTTACTGGCCGTCACTGCGGGTCCGCACACAGTACAGTGTCCTCAGTTTCACACATTCACTAGAACTATTGCTATTGTTAAATAACCCCAGGATGCGGGGCACGCACAGGGCAGGAGAGGCCAGGAGGGGGAGACAACTTCTCTCCCCCTCCCGTTTTTAATTAGGAAATAAAACAGAAAGGAAAATTCTTTTTTTTTTTGGCTTTTTAGTCCAGAAGGACCTCATCTTGCCCCTCTCACTCTAGGAGCCAGAGGAGGGAGGGGGGCTGTGGGTGAGAGGGCATGGGCGCTGCCAGGACGGGCTCACTGCTAGGGGCCCGACTCAGTAGGGCCCAGCAGCCTCAGCAGGTGAGGGCAGGCTCCATGTCCATCTGGAGGGCCGCCCGGCGGCCCCCTCCCTGGCTTCATGGGCTAGCTTGTTTTCCCTGATACAACTCCTCCCAGCGGCTTTCAAAGAAGCGGCGCATGATGTGCCCAGCCTTGCCCACCTCGGAGTCATCCTCATTGAAGGTCTGGCAGTTGTCAAAGACCAGGAGGGCGTCCGCAGCAAACTCCTCCGAGCTGGTGTACCTGGATTGGAGGGGGACGGGGAACAGACGCTGGTGGGTGAGAGCTGCCATGGGGACAGGGTGGTGCTGGGGCGGGGGATGGCTGCCACCTGCTTACCCTCCTCTCAGCAGCCGCTCCCGCATGGTGGAGAAGTCCATGGGGTTCTTGATGATGCGCCGGTAGCCGCTCACCAGGCGGGGGTTCACAGGCTCCAGGAAGGGCCAGGCCGCGTCATGGGACTCCATCTCCATCAGGATGATCCTAGCCCCAGGACGGCAATGCTCAGCTTAGGGCCAACCACGCTGACCACCCACAGCCCTGGAGTTCACTCAACTCACTCGCAAAATGTGAGATCACTATGGTGGTTCCGCATAGAGAGTCGCCGCCGTTTGGATGGGGACAGTCCCTGCTCCGAGGACCGAGGCGTGGCAGGGCTGTCCCGGCCCCGGGATAGCACCCGGCGCCGGCGGCTCTCGCCCTCAAAGAAGTTCAGTGCATAACTGCTTTTCCGCTTCTGGCCTCGCTTTGGGAATCCAGGCCTCTGAGGGAATTCCTCTTCCACCTGCTGAGGACAGGAACAGATTAAGGTAGCAGCTGCTGGCTGAGAATGCTGGATGCCCTCTAGGACACTGGACTCCCTA